TGTATCCGCACAGTACTGTAGCTCACACACGTCGTTCAGCGTGATGGTGTTCACTCCACCCAAACGCTTCTTAATCCGCTTCATCCTGCTCTTGTCATGACGAGAGGTATGAAACTTCTTCGGTAATTCCTTCTTCTCCTCTGGAGACGCAGTTGGGCAATTCGACGCATAGTATGGCCCGCTGCATTTAAGACATCCGTCTTTCGGTACGAGAGGTCGCTTCTTCTCTGAGTCCTGTTTTACTACAGATCGTATCGCTCGATTGACATCCCTGCTACGGCTTTCGTGTGGGCCACGCTGGCGACGGCCATGCTGGTCACTCAAACTCCTCTGATCCTGTAGCTTGGGCACCTTCTCAGACCTAGCGGACCTTTCCTCGTTGCATGAACGTTTGCGACGGCGGAAGTCTCGATCCTGCTCCAACGCCTTTTCCACGATCAGGTCATGGAGTTTTAGCTCGTCACTACGCGCCTCCGCCGATTGGAAACGAGTAGCAGTTTGCACATCTGCTTTGAGCTCACTGGGCGTCAGTGACTCAATAAGCAGCTTACACTTTTCTTTTTGGCCGTGCTGACCTTCAAAACAAGTCACTAGGCCGTGTTCTTCGATCAATTCATTGCAAAGCATGAAGTACTGCAGCACGCGCTCGTTCACGTCCGTTTCAGACATGTTAAGACGCAGCTTCTTGCCAAATAGCAGATCTATGTCGGGAAGTGTGTCGTTCATAACACGTTCGACAATCGCCTAGACTTCTGACATAATTCGGTCATCAGTCACAGCGTTAGGCGCCATTCCGCCCCAGCGGTAGGTACAGAGAGCCTTCAACAGTCTTTCGTCGACGGTACTCTTAATTGTTTCCTTGAGCCGCTCGTAGAGTTCATCGTCACCCTTGCTGCGAGCTTTCACGCTCTCTTCATACTCAGCTCGAGCCTTCTTCCACTTGATTAATGCAGAGTGGGACATGGACGACAGTCGAGGAGCGACCACCGGAATGAGCAACGGCACACCCACGGTGTAGATGTCACTGGCCAATGGAGCATCATCTTCAACTGTCTTGCCGCGACGGTCCGGTTTCTTCATCGTGCGAACGTGGGTTCACTAAAGTCTACTCTGTAGTACGTCCACGAGACGAATACGGTAGACACTGTTAGGGAAGCTGGCACTTCCGAACGTTTAGCCGATTGTATTGCTTCTGTAGTAGAAGGCAAAAGGTAAAGTGACTAGACTACTCTGTTTCCAATTCCACTTATTGCTACAGCGAGCAGGACAGCCTCCTGGCACTGCCAGAGGCTCGAGTCTAGTAGTTGCAACTGCAACTGCAAGGACTGCCAGCTGGTAATGAATGCAACTTGCATTCACTCCAAAGTGCAATGGGGGCAAGGCTTTCAACCTAAGCCCCACGCTACACCAAGCCAGGATCGTAGTGTTGCCAGTCACGAGGTGGATGAAGTTACGGAAATCCTCCGTCGTCGCCGTATTATAAGGAAGCCCTACGCCACCATTAAAAACAATAGACAGCATCTAGACCAGTGACTTGTTCTTCACCATTAAAATCAGCTCACCGTCGTTAGTCAGCAACCTGAAGATGTGCACATTGAGTGCCTTTGGTGTCGGTCCCCGCAGGCGTTGCAGCATACGTCGCTTTCTAATTGCCAGCTCCTGCGACGGCGAGTCGTCGAAACGCTGGGCCACGTACGCAGATGCTGCTTCAAACTGGAGTCGAGCTCTCTTGGCCCGCTTAGCCTTCTCCGCCACGCCGAGGGGATGATTTCGTGCTTGGAGACCATGTGGTCTTTGGCATTGGAGGTGTGGCTCCAACATCGATGACCGCTTGTCCACGCGTCCACTGGACGGATTGGTTAACTGGTGGCGTTACGGCGCACAAAATGTAGACGTGCGTGAAGCGCTCTGCATCATCGTCGCTACCCATCGTGTACGGCGTTGCAAGTATATGGGCGGCACCCAAACATTCACGCTTTCCTGGTTGGCGGAAGTGGTGGACATCCATAGGAATTCCGTATAAGTTGGCACATGCTGGACAGTCGGGCGACAGCGTTTCCTCAGACGACGGTAAGGTTTAATGTTATTATGCATCGAATACTAATCGTATACAAACATTAGGACCAGCAATGAATAATCTGGAGTCTCCTTGATCGACTACAACCTCTCGTTTGTCCTTATCTTGCGTTCATTTTGCAAAAAATGCAAGTCGAGCGACATGAGTACACTACACCATTTCAGATTCGTTCTCCCCGCCCCCGGGTTTCAATACAACCACCCCAGGTCCGACCTGTGCATAGTGGTGGTTCATTCAAAAAACACAGTGCGCCTTTTTATTTTGTTTTCATTTTTTTTTCGGAGAGGAATTATCAACTTTTGTCAATTTCCCACGGCCATGTCTTTCAGTAGGATAGCATCTGCAAGAAACTCGAAGGTGTGATAAATGCACTTACGGCAAAGCTCGGATGTGACGACTTCGCGGGAAATGGTGTTTGCTGCATGTAGCAAAACCGTCAAGCGATGAGCTGCGATGGTTGAGCTTTCGGGAACTTCGAGAATGTTTCGGCGGTTTGCCGCCATGTATCGCTTCACCGCAGCCTTGAACACTGAAAATACGTCCTCAACACCGTTCAGCATAGGCGAATATGGTCCGAGTCGCAGGCATTCCACACTCGCAAACTCTTCCTCATCAAACACTTCTTCGGCCCGACTGTGGCACGGAGCGTTGTCCACCATGACGACGACATTATCGAGCGCCTCGCGTCCAGCTAGGCAGCTTAGCATCCTCCGAATAAAGTCGTTTGCAGCTTCCCATTTAGACGACCGAAACCGCCCTTCAGAAAACTCGATTCCATCCCGCGAAATGCAGGCGATAACATGAATATTGCTGCCTTTGCTGTACGTGTTCAGGTCAACCGCTCGAGTTCCTTGAACACTCCATCCTTGGCTCCGACTAATCCACAAGTTAAAATTTGTTTCGTCCAGATACACGATCTTCTTGTCTGCTGCCAAGTATTGCAGCAACTTGACAGCAAATTCTTGCCTTTTCAGCTTGTTTTCGGGTTGTTGCGATAGTTATTGTCGCGATATTGTGCGAATATCTTCTGGGTATGTCTTACCCATTCTGCATAAAGCAAAGTGAGCGCAAGAAGCTGTTAGAGATTGCGTGCCGAGTCGGCATTCTCGAAGCTTCTCGAAATTGACAAAAGTTGATAATTCATCTCCGAAAAAAAATGAAAAAAATAATAATAAAGGCGCACTGTGTATTTTGAATCCGGGGTCTGGTTATTTTGAACTGGGGTTTGCCCGCCACTATGCACAGGTCGGACCCGGGGTGGTTGTATAGAAACCCGGGGATAGGGAGAACGAATCTGAAATGGTGTTGTGTTGAAAAGAAAATGATCGTGAGGAGCTACACCTTTTTCGCCCTACAGAAAGAACAAGGGCTATTAAGCGGAAAGCGCACAAGAAAACTTGTTGCTGAGTGCCTTGGCTGTTCAACGGACACGGTAGCACGCGTAATTGCAGTGTACAACGCGAGTCAGAAAACCGACTTTGAGGTAGATCTTTATGCATTTGATATTTAACAGTTACATATCAATTAACTTTAACATATAATATTTTGGTGCTGTAGTTCTAAAGCCTGTTCCGAATAGCAGGGGAAGGCCCCGCATGTTTGACCTTAATGCAATCGCTCCAGCGATTCGCGACTTCGTTGTAAAGCAAAATATGGGAGGCCAGCCTATCACCGCTCAACATGTATGTAATGAAGTTGCTGACGTGTGTGGCGCTCAGCTGAAGGTGGACACTATGACTCG